TATATATATATATATGTATGTATGTATTTATATGTATATGTATTTGTATATGTGTTCTCTATTCCGCACGACAGAGGAGCGAGGCAAAGCGAAAGAGTCGCAGCCAACTAAAGAGCTTCGACTCAATCAGATTCTCCTCCGCCGTCGAGGTGGTCATCGAGACCCGGGACATGTTGGATGATTTGCTGGTACGCTTCTGCTGCATGATGCGCGGCGAGCTGAGCTTCATAATCGAGTAAGTCGTCTTGACTGCTTTGGGGGCGCACGCCGCAACGGGGCGTGGCAACGGGCAAACGGAACGAACGGGCTAAACCACAAACGCAAAGAGCTGCAAGAAAGAAAATGAGAGAGAATACGGGATTAATTTAAGCCCAATTCAAGTGTTGTTATTGCTGTGCTCCGAGTGGCCTGTCAAGTGGGCCTTGAGCAGCATTGAGGAGGAGACAAAAAAAAAAAAGAGAAGTGTATATGGAGCGTGACATTTGAGCGGCTGTTGGCCCTCAGCACACAAGTGAGCAACTGCTGAGACTGCTGGCACGCACACAGACACATACAGAGGCGCACTCACACACACACACACACGCTCGCACACACAAATATGCTAAACTTTGTTTCGGCTTTATTGGCTTTGCTCATATAACCCCTACCCAAAATCACTTTCGCTCCCGCCTTACCCCCATTCAATTGCCATCATGCTGGATGACCTTGCCCACTCACGCTGCTCCGCCGGAATCGGTGTGGCATGCTCCAGTTTACAGCGTCGAACCCGAAACGAAGCCCAACCCAACCTAACTCAACCAATGTTCAACAGAAATAAGCGCTTCGATGACACATTCAACGCTTCGTTAATTAGATAAGTTTATGGAGGTTTATATAGATATGTAAGTGTATCGTGACACGATATTAATGAGACTTAGCATAGAAGATTATGCAGAGATATGTGTATAGCGGGACATGAAACGAGACTGAGCTGTGTAAGTAAATAGGTAGAGACATTTTCATATATCGTGGCACGACCTTTACACGGCTTGATATATATAAGAACATATGTCATGTATGTATATCGTGACACGAAACAAGACTTCACATAAGATTTAAATACAATTATCGTGATACGAATTGTGCACGATTTAATCATATTATGCAGATTTCGTTAAAAGATGATTAGCCATAAGTAGCTCGTAACATAGATGATAATCTAGAGTGTTGTATATCTATAGTTAATATAGAAAATTGTAAAATGATATCAATATCGTGACACATTATTAGTACGTAAAATAATTATATATTACTACAAAATATATCTAACAAACAAATGTCAAAAAAGTTTACAAATCAAAACAAAATTTTGTTCAGGCTTTAGGTATTCGAGAATAAAAATGCCTAAGGGAAGTAAAAGTGGAGGTAGTAGTCGAAGTAATAAAGGAAGTAGTAGTAATAGAGCTCAAAGTAAAAGCAATAATAGCACTAAAAGTGAAAAATCAGAAAAATTGCCAAAACGTCAAAATTCGAATGTCGATGAGGAAGTGACGAAAAGACAAAACCCATACTATAGAAGAAGTTTTTTTTACTGGCCTGCTTTTTTCTACTTGCCTCCTTTTTTTTACTGGACTCCTTTTTATAGAGGTATGTTTGTTGTTAAATAAGTTGTTATTATTAAAAATCTGATATTATTGAACTATGTTTATATGCCTAAAATAAAAAGCTTCATATTAAACGAATATAATTAGCAAAAATTTAGATATTTATAAGATACGAATGAATATGTAAGGAATATAGAAAGATGTGTGAGTGAAAAATACAATACATTCTGATAAGTATAATTATATCTCATGTATTTATACATATGCTTATCTGTCATTTATCTCTATACATGTTTCTATGTCTGCCCCAACTCAATTTTCATTTATGTTCCCGCTAATTACCTAAATATTCTGGCAAGCGCACATTTCGACGTCATTTGCAATTATGCAATGCAATCGACACAGCAACAGCAACCGCCTTCCATTTCCACTCGCCACTTCCCCAGTTTTCCATGGAAAACACTTCGTGCTCTCTAGCTGCCCACGCCGAGTGTCGGCGGCGCAGCAAATTAATTTCAATTCTCATTTAAGTTTTACAATCTCAGCGCTTTTGTGTCATTGTGTGCGCGTGTGTGTGTGTGTGTTTTGGAAACTGACGACGACGACAACTGAAAACCAAAACAACAACAACAACAGCAGCAGTTGTGAAATATATGTCATGCAAACAACAACAACAAAAACAACAGCAAATGCAACAGCTGAATGAGTAAACCACGCGACAACACTTTATTTATTTATGTTTTCATTTTTTTGTTGTTTTCCTCTTTTTTGTGTGTGAGCAGCAAAATGAGATTATTTTTTGTTTTTACTTTCTGTTATGTATTAAAAAAAACATGCTGTAGCTGCACGTTCTGCATACCCTATAGAAAAAAGGGTTAACAAAGTAAAAGGCAACTTCGAATAGTCTACATAAAAGAATGGAAATATTGTATCTTGTTGAAAAAGTGTATTTTTAAATTTGAAAAGGACTTTTATTCTAAATACCTAAAAACTAAAATAAAAGAACAAACAAATTTTTTTGTTTTGAATTTTTTTTGCGTTATTATTGACTTAAATTAAAAGATTATTTCTAAAAATGTAAAAAACTTTTTATAATAATGTGTGAAAATGTTAAGAAATAACATGAATTTATAAAGTATTTCTTCTTTTTTTTTTTTTTAACAATTTATGTAATTTTTTGTTTTGTTTTAAATATTTGCTAATTACGGCACATAATACAATTGACCAACAACTAAAAACGAATTTACTAAATATTTAAAGCAAAAGTTTAATAAAATTATCTATCCACAATATACAACAAAGCCAAGAAAACCCTATGAAATATATAAAATATTCATTTATATGTATAAATATAATATATTCAATTCAGCCATTAGCATTCTGATAAGATTACACATAGAGATAGAGATAGACAACGTAGGTCATTAAAAAAGATATTCAAGAATTTGCTTGGATCTCCCTTAAGAGTGCAGTAAATTCTCATATCATGTAATTTTTTTCCTATACGAATTCGCTAGAAAAATTTCTTAGCTGCAACGGTATCCATTCCATTTGGGTTTGACAGAGGCATTTGGGAATGGTGTAGGAGGCAGGGAAACTGAGAATGGCAATGGGAATTGGAATGGGAATTTTTGGTTTCGTGTTGCGCTTTAATCTTACGTTGCGAGTTATGCAGCAGCTGCCGCTGTTGCCGCTGTTGCCTCAGTTGCCTCAGTTGCTGCTTCTGCCCACGCACACCTCCAACCCTCCGCCATTAGTTGACACTTTGTAGCTGCTGCCATTTATATTAGCTGCTGTTGTTGTTGTCGTATTTTCTTGTTGTTGACTGTGGGGCAAACAAATGATGAGGCTTTCGCCGTGGCTAGGCGGGGACGCACATTTGTTTTATTGCATTGCCTGTAGCAGCGGGGCGTATACGTGATGTTTTTATTACCGTTAAATTAAAAAGACGAGGCGTGCCAGACATGCACAAATGGAAATGGAGTTTAACCAACCAGCCAACGACACCAATCAATCGATGCTGGGCGCAAGAGGTTCACACTTGGCCACATAACTTGTGCGCGGCGCCAGCGATTTCAATTTATGAGCGCCCTCGTGTCAAATTCCAATAAGAACCGATGATTAGGCATGAGCGCAACACTAATTTGTGTTACCTACTATAAATAAATGCATGCAAGCCTGGCAGCTCTCTCTCCCGCTCTCTCTCTCTCTCTCTCTCTTTCTCTCTTTCTGGCTCCATCTATCGGTGCTTCTGTCTAATTGGCTCGTGTGTGCTGTCACATGGTCGCACTGACTGACCCACTTGGCTGGCTGTCTGGCAACGCTGCAAATGCTAACTGCAGTTTGAGCCTGTGCCAAACTCAATTATCAATTTGCGCTTTTTATTCACAGAGCCCCTGGCCGTGTCTCTATTTCGTTCAGTTGCAATTGCCAGAGTTGACGTGCGATGCATTCGTTCAATTGACAGCAGCAGCCGTTGACAAAGTGTGGGGTGAGAGGAAGAGAGCGAGCAAAGAGAGTGCAGAGGTAACGGGTTTATATGTTAGCATATGTATGTAAGTATGTGTGCGTGTGCGTGTGTGTGAATTAGTTGCATAGTCCCAGTTGGAAACTTAACGACGGATGACATGGCCTTCACTACGTTGGCAGCTTGTTGACATCTCTTTAAGTAGGATGCTCTTTTATTTGTTAGACAAAAATATGTCGGTATATACATATGTATATGTGTATAAATATATTTTATATAATGCGTACTTAAAATTAACCTCGTCATCAATTTTTTATTATTTCTTTCGTTAGTTTCATGTACTTTTGCTATTGATACGTAAACAAGACGCATGTCAACGCCAGCAATGACTTGACACATGCGAAGACACGCTGCTGAGGTCGTCATCTACGCCGCTGATATACTATATGCCATAAATTTCCCACTGGGTGCACAGACATAAACATGCTCGCTGTCAGCGCTTCTATATTTCCAATTGCATTTGAAATGCGTTCTCATTGCTCTTATCAGAAGCGTGCCAATTGTACGCCTCACTGACTGACAGACAGACTGACAATCTAACTGGGTTTTTCTTCTTCTTCTGCTTGACATCCATCTAAAGGGGGCGACTTCAATATCAATGCTTGAATCGAAAATGAACAACAATTGTGTGACATAAGCTACGCAACTTTTGTCTACGTCTAATTGGGTCGTTCTCGAGAGACACCAAAACACGCTGAACTTGAATGCCTTGACAAAAGCTATATATCTGTATTTTTTTCTAACCCGTTCACTCGCAGTTACATGAGCGATCTCTACGAATGTGGCGACTGCTGCTGCGGCTGCCATTGCTTTTTGGGTACGATATGAGCTCAGAAAATTTATAGAAAATGACATCAGCTGTTACCAGTTCAACTTGAATTGGCAGCTCATAAATATTTACGGCGCTAATCATGGCACATACAAGCTGCAAGATACTTTTGAGGCAATTGCAAGATGCGCCAGACACAGCGACAAACAATCGCTAAGTGCAGGGGAAAAACCGCATTTAAACACAAAGAAAATGCTAATTTTAATGTAAATACACACACACACACACACATTGTTGTATGCTGTAACTGTAAACGTAGGCGACGTCTGCGAAAAGTCGCACACAGCCGCAACAGCTGCAAAGCGAGAGAAAGAGAGAAAAAGAGTATCTAACAGATTCGCCGCATTGTTTTTGGCCCAGAACCGCATCAAAGCAGCGCATCACAGTTGAGGGCCTCAGACTGCTAGGCAGCCAAGTGGCCCAAAGTGGCCCTACGTGTAACAACCTGTCCTTACCTTAGGCCCCAACTCCCACCCCACCTCAACTACAGTTGTAACAGTCTAGTTAACTTGCAGCTACAAATGAACGAATGTATCTGCAAGCTACTTACAATGCCCCCATGTAGCTGTATCTTGTTGTCGTATTTCATTGTTGCTCTTGCTGCTGCTGTTGACTGACTGACTTTCGAAACGTGTTGTCATGTAAATTAACCAAAAAAAAAAAAAAAAACCACAACAACAGCATAGAGAAAAACGAAGCCATGTACTTTACATAGCCGTCGCATTCGCTACATGCCTCCATCTCCATCCTCAATAGCTAGAACAAACAGCGAGCGCCGCCAGAGTCTGAGAAATGCAAACACTGTGATGAGATGTCCACAGAGCCCCCCTTAAAATGGAGAGAAACCATTTGCATTGCTCTACATACACATACACACACACACTAACACAGTCGTCCGCTAACTAACTAACTACTGACTCGGACTAGTGAGTAGTATGAGTAACTACTTAGCGGAAAATCGACTTTAGGGCTGAAGAGATTTCGAGTTTTGTCGAACTTCAGTTTAGGCACTTTCTGCTGATAAAAATAACAGTTACTGTGCAGCAAATGCTAGAGATAAAGAAACCTAAAGGTACTCAAAAACATTTGTGAAGAGACCGAAAGAGTTTTATACTCGTAGAGCTGAACCAAACTGTCAAGAAAAAGCCCTTTATTGGAATATCTAAACTATTTTGTTACCTTGGTTATAGGCTTAGTGACTTTCAAACTGTTATGACACATTCAAACAGTGACGTATACATTGTATAAAAATAATATTACTTAAATAATATTTATTATATTTTTATATTTTCTATTAAGCTTAAGTTAAGTTTTAGAAAGCGATTGACTCTCAAAATATCATTTGAATAATAAGAAAATTTTTTATGTAAAGCTATATAAATACTATTCCCCTGGTATCTCTCTATGTCAGTCTCTCTCACCATCTGCCTCTCTTTCTATAGGTCTATCTGTTTATCTGTTTATATCTCGATCTATATATTTATTTATCTATTATTCTCTTCCTCTCTCTTTCTCTCCCTCTCTCTCTCTATCAGTCTCTCTCTTTCTGCCTATCTCTCTCTCTCTCTCTCGCTCTCCCACTGTCTTTTTCGAATAGATGCAGAGACAGTGAGAATTACAATATGCTAAAGCAATATACCCTTTTCAATTTATAAACATACAAATCTAATCTAAATTACTGTAAAAAAAAAAAAAAAACATTGACTACTAAATCTCAATTGATTCATAAACTGCAATAAAAATCAGCGAATACAATATTGAAAATTGATTTAAATTAGGATACGGAGATCCACCTCATATGGCAGAGCTGATGCTTTGTAAACATTTTTAATGATTTGTTTGGGCCATAAAGAAAAAGCCAACTACGGCGAATGAGTATATCAATCGGCGCACAACGATTGTATATTTATGTGGAACAATAAAATAATCCAGATACAGCAATGGTCACAATTGTAGACACCGAATGCCCAAATGCCCAGCACATTGCGGCATTCTTAATTTCCTGTTTGGCTAATTATTGCGCATACGCCGTGTAATACTACAGATGCAGATATTTAAAATGCGAAACAGTTAGGGCAATAAACAAATGGGAAATCAATAAACAAATGAGCAGAGGCAGAGGAGAAACAACAACTGAAGCTCAAAGTTGGCCACAAGTAATTGCGATGCTGTCGCAAATGCTGCTCATTAGCTACGAGAAGGAAGACTATAGAGAGGGGGAGGGGCAGGGGAAAGCCTCCACTCCAAAGTACTCGCGGATCGTGGTCAGTCGTTAAGAGGCGGCACCGAGGCTCAGATAATGATGGGAAATGTTTTGTTTGAAGGCGCTTGATAAGAAGAGGTCGAAGAGGAAGCGCAACTAATGGCCTTCAAGCGAAACGAAATTATTTCGGTAAACAACAACAAAAATGTTCAGCATCGGTTTTTATAGCTCGCTAAACGGCGACGAAAACAAACGTGTTTCAAATTAATTTACAAATAGAAAAAAAATCAAATAAATACAATTTATCCAACTACTAAATAAAATTTTCCAGTTTTCAAGTGTTTTTCTTTTGTCTGCCAGACAAAGAGAGCGAGAAAGAGATGCAAGGAAAGAGACACAGTGTAAACAAAGATGACTATTAGTTTTTTTTTTCTTCAGTAGAGACCACACGCAAAGCTAAGCACCTGAGCCACACCTCGAATCAAATTTGACCCGAAACAGCATTTGCATATTTGATCAACTCTTTTGCGTTTATTCCAATTTGAACTTTTTGCTGTCTACTTGGAATGTTCATCGATTTTCGATTAAGTCTAATTGGCAGTCAGTCAGACTTTGCCCAGCTCCATTGGAATTCAATAAGTTTCTTTAGCATTTCCATCAATTTACAGCACTTCGTTTCTTTATTTCATCAGCTTTATCTGTGTACATCTTTTCCTTGTTCGTTCCGCTTCTAGAGTTGGGTCACATTTGCAACTGGGCATCAGCTGCTGGCGAATCATTAATCTGGCAGTGAATCGTTTGCGAATGTTCTGCTTAAGCTAACAGCAATTTGCATAAGATTTATCTATGCCATCATTATAAGTCAGCTCTAATTGTATGAGTCTTAACAGGCATGATTGAATATCACTTGAGACAGTAGATGGAATATGAAGTACGAAACAAATAACAAAATTTAATTTGATTAATATTTTTTGTTTTCAAAAATTTGGCAAGTTAAATGAAGTAAAGTACATACATATAAAAAAAATTTTTTTTGACTTAAAAGCAATAAACCAAAGAACAGATATTCAATTGTGGCTAACATCGAATGCATAGAATTGTAATATACATTTATAGACCAGAAAGTATTTTATTTCATAAGTGATTGATTTTCATTCAAGTATTAAGAAAATATAAATTTCCAAACTTTAGTTAAAATATCAACCTATTCAGCTTAGCGTCACTTTATAATATGTATAATTTACTTTAGATATTAACGTTTTTTATTTTTTAGTTAGATAAACAACTTAAAATTTAAAAAAATATAAATAAATAAAAAAATGTAAAGGAAAACAAGAAGCATACATATATTATTATTCATCATGTAAAATCATGTATTTTAAGATTTTTTCGTATATATAAAATGTTTATCATAGCTAAAAAATAGTTTTCAAAATACTTTATATACTGTAAATTCAACAATAGGAAGTTTTTTAAAAGAAAAATCTTTTAATAAACTTAAATCCTATGCAAAGGCTTTAAGCACAAATCTGAGCTGGATTTGTGGCTCGAGTCTCATAACTTAGGATCCTTCATTACATTTTATTGCATTTGTTTTTCAATAAAAATGCACAAGACTTGAGCAAGTTAAGGGGAATGGGGAGGTGTTTAAATAATAGAGGGAAAACTACGTCTTATCGGGCAAGTGGCCGCACGCCCCCATAGTGCTTGCTGCGTGGTGATATAATCTGCCTTAATGCTTCGCTTTGGATTTCATTTCATTTTGCTTTTTTCTCTTTTTGTGAGTTTTTTTTTTTTCTTCATTTATTTGGGACACAAATATTGATTTACCGCGGCTCTTGGTAAATGTAACTTAAGCGATAACACGACGATAAGTTGAAACTATTCATGCAAGCCCAAAACTAAAATCGGGCACTTAATGTGCACATATGTTACATATATGTATATAAATATATATGTGTATTCATATGTATTTATCATCCAAATAGGTTTTTTTTTTTTTGGAGCCAAGTGCATTTAACGATATGATAAAAGTGCGGAGCACATGAAAGATGGGGCAATGTGGCTATGAAGTTGACCCAAATAAAATGCGAGCACAGCTGCCATAGCATTCACGATATAGAATGGATATCTAGTTTGTGTGCGTATATACATATATATGTATATATACATCTAGAATTATGCTGACAACATTCAATTAATTGGCAAACATTCTATCAATTGTGTTCATTCTTAATTAAAATTAATTATGTACTCCAAGTGCTGGCACATAAAACTAAATTAATAATAATATGATATGATCTGAGTGCGATGCCTGCTGTTACAAATACAATTGGCCTATATACAAGCCAACTAGCCAACATTAAGAGCCAAGTAAAGTAATTAATAAACAAAGGCACAATGTTAATGCTCTCTGAGTGCTTGGCAGGAGGCAAGGCAAGCCCAGGCACGACAAGTAAAAGGACATTAAAGTGCAGATATATGAGATGAAATAAACATTCTTACGGAAAAGCTCGAAGAAAACTTCATTAAAATGCTAGTCATATTACAATTGAGGCTTTAACTAATCGTATTTCATGGCACATTAAAAAGATTTATTTAGTTTACCTTGAAAATTCCACAAAATAATTCTGATTAATTTCATGTTTTTATATTTATTTATTTATCTATCGACACGCAACAGTTGCCGCATGCCCAAAATTTCCATCTCATTTACAAACATTTAGAAAACATGCAAAATTACTTTTAAAAATATTCAGATTTTATGTATATATATACATAATTCAATCATAATCCTCACCTCCCAGACTACTTCATCAAATATGTATATATAAGGGAAATGCGTTGTTGCTTAAATAAGGGCTTAAAAATAAATAAATAGTAAGCTTAGCTTTACGTCTGAATGAAACGCAAGGCGCAATGTTCTACTGATTACGTAAAAAGCGTAACACACTAGCACACACCCACACACACAGATGATAGTCAGTTGGTTTTTACGCATTCAAGGACAACAGCCAACCAAGGGCACTCAAAGAAGTGACGTCTTCAAATGCTGGCATTACACAACACTGGTTACGTTTTGAGTTGAGGCTGGCAAGACTTACCGTTAAAATTGTTAGTTGGCAGCACCTCTTGGGAGACACTACACTTGCAGATATGTTATTTTTCCTTGGCTGACAACCTAGCAGGCCTCTGACAATTATCGTTACAATTGTGTGAGTATTCAGAAATCAAAAAGAATAGATCAGAGCGCAGCCAACTTTCGACGTAAATGCTGCTAACAAATTTTCCGTTCTATTAAGCAAAATCGTCGTAACTTTTATGTTGTATTTCCCAATTCTCACGACGCGTAAAACTCGTAAACGTAACGAACTTTATTGGATAGCAGAGGCCAAATAAGACGAGAACCGTGCGCCGCGAACTCAGCTAACTGAATGAAAACGGACGCAGCGCTCGAGCAGTCGAGAGCAGCCTTAACGTAAAAAGCAGCAAAAGCAGCGAAGAGAGTGAGAGCAAATACACCAACATCAACATCAACAGCGACGGCGACAGCGACAGAAACAGCAAAAACAACATCAACAGCAATAGCAAAAGCAAAAGCAGCGCAGCTTTGCGCTCAGCATAGAAATAGTGGGAGGCAGAGCAACAAGCACAGACCGTTACTCAAGAGAGCCGTCAAGCAGGTGAGCGTAAAGTTGTGTTGTCACTATTTGTTGTTGCTGCTGCCCACGCGCTGCGCTCGGTTGCAGCGTGCATACATACAAAGATACATACTTATATGCATTGCCCCGTACGTAGCAGAGTGCACTAGAAAAAAATTATAAATTGATGCATATCACTTGATATAAATTTATAGCAATTTTTCATTCACTTTTCCCACGCTGCTACTGCAGCTGCAAGCCACACACACGCGCTCTCTCTTTGGCAATCTCTCTCTTTCGCTTATGCTCCGTGTGCGCTGCATGTATATGTGAAATGAGGAATATTTGGAAAGAAGGAGCATAAAAGCTAACGCCAACTGGCGACGTTGACGCAGCTGCTGCTGCGCTGCTTATGTAACTTGACGTTGTCTCAGTCTCGCAGTCTCAGGCAGTGAAGGGCAGTCAGCGACCTCGTTCTAGAAAAAAAGGCAACCCACAGCAGCAGCAACAGCAGCACCAGAAGCAGCGGCAGCAACAACAGCAGCGCACAGGAACAACACAAAATAAACATTCAGCAACATACACAATGAAAATGTAGGGTTTTATTCTATGCAGCCACACATAGCATAACAGCGAATGTTACAGTAGGTAGGTGGTTGGGCGCATATTTTTGTTCTTCTCTTCTCGGGCGACATCAAAGCCAAAACGAAATTGCGCAACAGCAACAAAACTTCGAAATAGCCACGTGAGCAATGTGAATGCCATTTTGTTGTTTTTTTGTTTGTTTTTTTTTTTTTTCTCTAATTTGCTTTTGCTTTTCCTTCTTCCTTCTTTTGTCCTCTTGACCCAGCGACCCACATGATTTTTATAGACTGCTGCTGCAGTGCATCGCAGTAAACAATTATGCTACTCTCTCAGCCATCTCTCTTCGCTAAACCTTTTATTCCACATAAATTGTTAGCTGAAGTGTAATTCAATTCCAGGCGTCATTTATTTATAGTAGCCGTCGGTCAGGAGCCAACTGCAGGTTACAGCAGCAGCAGCTGTCTGTGGAAAATTTATGGCTAACCCACAAATTGGGTTAGGTCAGCAGCACGGAGTGAATAAAACACCTGATGCAAAGCCCTCTTCTAAACAGCATACAGCACAAGCTCAACGTACTTTGAGTTACCGTTATCTTCAGGCTAATGCACAGGCATAACAGCGGAACAAGTGACCAGAGCACTTACAGTTATTTTCAGGCTTTTACTGCTGCGGTGTCTGTCTCCCTTTCCTGCATGCTTCCCGTTATGTTTTTGTTTTTGTGCTTTTGTGTTTGGCGGCATCTGGTTTTGCCTAAGCCACAAGAAACATGCGTAAAATGCGTTTTAATTGAAGGGAAATGTTCAAAACACATGTTCGTCGCACGAGGAGGGCGAATAGCCGAGTCTAATTGAATTATGTACATGCATATGCATATACATACATACGTATGTGTGTGTTCCTTTGTTTATAGCCCGCCATTTACCAATACTATTCGCTCTGTTTTTTTTTTATGCATTTCGTTTTAGCCGTTTTTCAATCGTATGACCCAGTTCTATGCTATTGCTATCTCTGTCACTTGCACTCGCAGCTGAGAGTGTCAAAAATATAAGAGCAGCGAAAAAGAAATAAAAAATTGAGTGAGCCGTTGTCATCATCGATGCATATTTAAATTAATTTAAGTGGACGCACACATACATACATATGCACACAGCTGTTTTTTGGGCAGCACTTAAAGTGTCGGTTATAAATAGAATAGAAACACGCAAAAAATAATGGGTAAAAATAATGCATATGTATGTATATACATAAATATACGTATATGTCGTATATATTTATGAATTGCTAGTTATGACGACGAATTCTATTTTTTGCATGCGGGTTAGCGGCTAAGACTGCAGTTAGCCACGTTTTTCACATTTACTATGCACGCACGTAACGACCCACATTCACACCCACTCGGAGTCAGGCAATTAACTTGGCAGACTGCGTGGCTCACGTTGACGTCGTGACATAACCTAAGCATGAAAAAAAAAAAAAAAATACAAAAAACATCAATCCAACCAACCATCCTTTGCCTACCCATTCCCTCCCATTCGCATGTCACGAATGTCCTTGAGGCGTGAGCTGAAGGCCACGTGAGGCTTTGTTTTCGTTCAGCCATTAGAAATAAGCTTCAAAAAGTAAACTATGTATTTTTTCCTCTTTTCGTTTTTGTAGAAAAACCATATACCAACATGGGTGCCGATGCGGAGAATGGCAAAAAGATTTTCGTTCAGAAATGCGCACAATGCCACTCCTACGAAGTGGGAGGAAAGCACAAGCAGGGTCCTAATCTTGGCGGAATTGTTGGCCGCAAATGCGGTTCTGCTCCTGGCTACAAATATACTGAAGCTAACATCAAAAAGGGTATCGCTTGGACAGAAGGCAATCTGGATGAGTATTTGAAGGATCCAAAGAAATTTATTCCCGGCACCAAGATGGTTTTTCCCGGACTCAAAAAGGCCGAGGATCGCGCTGATTTGATTGCATTTCTCAAAACAAACAAATAGTTTGAATACCTCAACAAAAATATGAAAAAATTATAAGATTGGGAAAAATAGCTTTCATAAATATTTACTAAGACACTTTTAGAATAGATTATAATAAAAATTGAGCTCACAACATAATATTGGTTCTTTGATATACAAACATGTATACATATGATCACTGACCAGATCTGACCAGATATGATCTCTGGTCAGTGATATGATTTAGTTCAATATTTCATTTTAAGACACATTTGTATTTAAACGTACCGCCATATTTTATTTCAGTCAGCTTTTGTCAGGCTCAGCAATCATTTCAAATTTGGCTGCGCGTGCCAAAGCGCGGAATCACAGTTATGAAATTGCAATGACTTTTAATCTTTAATAATTTAACTAAAATACATTTAGTGAATCTTGTTATACCAGCAAACTTTCTCTTACCTACTTTGGCTAAAAATAAAAGTTGAAAGCTGAAAATATTTTAAGATATGACCGCGCGTTTTGAAAAAATCATATCATCTAGCATTTGCAAGGCTAACAATATAAACACAATTATAATAGAAACATCCACATGTCTTTTATAGCCGAATCAGATATTTTAATCTCTTAAATATCCATGAATTAAATAAAAAATAATACAAAATAGTTATTCAGAGATTAAAAATCTATCTTCAAACGCACGTTGAATTTGATTCAATATCGTACTTTTTAAATAAATCTATCGATGTTTCGATATATTAATAGTATCGATACTCACCAAAAAAACTCATTTGTGCCAATTGGGATCTTTTGTCTCATTCGTAAGCTAACTGTTCGCAGCGAAAGACGGTTTGTGTTCAATGTAAGTACCGGGAGTTTGCGAATGACGTAAATATATTAATTTATAAAACCCTGAATAGTTATTGATTACGTTTAAAGTGTACAGAGAATTCAGTGATAAATAACTGCATTTAAAATTCTTACATAACGTACGATCGCCCAGATGCTCAGAGTTTAGCTGTATATCCCACGCGAATTTTATTTTTTGGGGGTTGTTTGCGTTACATAAACGTGTGATTGCCTTCAAGGGTGTTTGTGTATGTGTGTGTGCGTATATACATATGTGTGCTAAATTATATATGTATGCAAAAGTCCAAAAGTAACAACTATTAACCATGTAACATATGATGCAAGTTTTTACACATAAAGAACAATATGTGCCAACAAAGAGTCACATTGACATTACAAATATCGCGAATCGATTACATGAGCAAAAATTAAGAGCTGAAAAGGCCACACGATCATTTGCTATCTCGCTCATACGATTGCTTTAAAAAAAGTGGCTTCCATTTCCCAGAATTTTAACCCGCCCGCCACGTGGTTGCTAAGCTAGTGCGATTTCATTGCCCATTAGATTTTTTCTCTGCTAAAAAATCGCAGGTTGCTTATGTAAGCTCTCTCTACTCTTGCAAGAATACTAACCCAATTTCGCATTTACCTGCTCTCACGCATCCTCACATTCACACACATTGAGCGAAGCATCAGCAATTGGCCTGCTTCCAATGCAGTTCCGATAGAAAAAGTGGTTTTATTTATCTGAGCAAGGCCACAGCTAGGCGACATTGTAATCTTTCATGTAATCAATCGCTATCTATAGAAATGTGTACGCGTATGTGTGTATGTGCGTGTGTGTGCCTGCTCGTGTAGGTGACTTACTAATTGCAATGCTGCATGTCTCGCATGCAACAATTCGTTCAAGTTCGCATTAGTCACCCGATAAGCCGTTAGATGGCAATATGCTGGCCGCGACACAGACCCTGAAACTGTATTGCTGGGAATGTGGGGCATTATTGGAGTTTGGCCTGTTGCTGTGCGGCAGCGAAATCTGACGCAATTAAAATTTTTGTTGTGATGCCAGAGATGGCAGCACTGCTTCTTTTATATATTAGTTAAATTAATTAACAATTGTCATTTAATAATTTAAAAAAATAGCAGATTAATTTAATTTTTTTTTTTTTAGCTAAAATTAATTATTAAATAATCTTCATTAGAAACCTGTTCCATTTTCTTGACAATTAAATAATATTGAGCTTGCGACGATGTAGCTTTTTCGCCTTGAAGCTAGCTTTGTTAGCTAAAAGCGAGCAGCACTGCGACGGCAACATGTGACCAGATCGTGTGTATGTGTATGAGTGCGTGTGCGTGTCTGTGTGTCTGGTGACGTTGCTCGTCATCTGGCATGTTAAGAACGTTGAATGAACTTTGGGCGGGTGGGTTTGAGGTGCAGACTATTAGATAATCTAACGGTTGCATTACTAATGGCTGGCATGTGTTGTTATCAGTAGCCCGATTAATGCGTCGGATGTTGATAAAAATGAATTTGCCAACGGTAAATTAATTTGTTGTTTATATAACATTTCTAATTGTTCGTTTTCCTCTATCTATCTCTTTTCCCCGCAGTCGAGTCGGTGTTAACACATCAAATATTAATTAACTATAATGGGTGTACCTGCTGGTGATGTTGAGAAAGGCAAGAAGCTGTTCGTGCAGCGTTGCGCACAGTGCCACACCGTCGAGGCCGGTGGCAAGCACAAGGTTGGCCCCAATCTGCACGGTCTGATCGGCCGCAAGACCGGCCAGGCTCCCGGCTTTGCCTACACAGATGCCAACAAGGCTAAGGGCATCACCTGGAACGAGGACACGCTCTTCGAATACCTGGAGAACCCCAAGAAATACATCCCCGGCACCAAGATGATCTTCGCCGGCCTGAAGAAGCCCAATGAGCGCGGTGATCTGATTGCCTACCTGAAGGCGGCTACTAAGTAAGGAGGAACTACTAGCATCTACCCACATCCGAACCTAGCACCACCTCTAGCTAAACGTAAACTATGTATTACGACCTATACTATCATCATGGAAGCGTGGCAGAAGCGCCTCCGAGGCTCATCTTGACGACGGCTTGTATTTTGGGTCACAATTATAACAAAGCAGAATACTGAACTTAAAACAAAAATACAATTATGTTAACTTTAAAGTTTAAATAGGACAATTACATTATTTAATTTATAAAGTGGATAATAATAATTTAAAGCCGATTAAATTGTGACGCCCACAAGAAATATAACAACAAATTAAATAAAAACAAAACAATAAAACCGAAAATAAACTTGTATTTTCTTTATAACACTGTAAAATTTTAGGAAAAACTATCTATTAGTATAAAAGCTTATCATTACAAAAGCTCAACGAGAGAGAGGGAGGAAGAAAGCTTTTAAAGCTCACAACGTATTGAATAACATTCAAAGTAATTATCATTTTCAATTACATTTATTTATATATATTGTTTTTTTTTTTTTTAATTCAAAAATTTATCATACATTTTAATAACAATTTAATGCATTATTTTTATGTGAATTTTGTAAACAATTGTATTATTCACACGCTTAATAACATTTCATAATATTGCATTTATTTATTTGATTTTTTCCATACATATATTTTTGTTTTAAAGAAAAGAAATACTTGATAGGTTGGTTGTACATGTGCGCCGATGCGTTAATATATAATACAATTTACTATTTAGACTTGGTTGAAGAAATCGTGAGAAAAACTTTGTACAGCACAGCGCAAAGTAGAATATTTAAAACGATTGTAACGAACATAAACAAAACAGACAAAAACAAATTATAAGATTTACTCGTTGTGAGTGTGTGTGTGTATGTGTATATTTTTTTTGCAGTTTGTCTAATTAACTTTCACTCTCATCTACGTATCTCTCTAGTGGTTCGGAATGCCAACAAAAGAGCAACAATTAATTAGTTTTAACGAACGCTGGCACCATCTGGAATCGTCAATAGATTCGCTATGGAACTTAGTTTACAGATTAGGACAAAGAAATATGCGCTTAAATGGTAGCAAGAAATAAAACGATATTTTGTTAATGGGCGTGGGAGTTGGCGGTGGGAGACACACGCCCCCAACTCTTATTGTTAGTTAAGTTGTCGAAAACAAGCTGACGACCCACTTGGCTATCAGTTGTACATGGTGTAGCTGAGGAGCGGGGTATCGGTCCTTTAGGCCTTGCCAGCAATGGGAGCTGCGCCTTGTTTTTGGTTCTCGTTCTCCTTCTCCAGCTGCTTGCCCAAGTATTCCCTAATAGAAACACGAATAAAAGAAACACATCAACAATTTGGAATTTGGCTATGCTTATTTTGAGTAGAGAGTGCTCTTGAAATTATTCGGCAATGTTTTGAGTTTCGGGCGTATAAATGCGAGTATGATTATCGAGCGGCACCTGAGTGCGATAGGTGTGCATATGATTAGATAAGACTATCCACATTTATAATACTAACCAGTTGTGTACCATCAGTTTTTGGACAGCCAGCAGAGCTTCGTAGCGCACATTGGGATCCTCGTGACCCAGATGCTGCATAACAATCTGTTTGCCACCCAATTGCTCCAGCACACTGTGAAGCAAACGCATATTAGACAAGAGCCAGGCAGACAGATCCCAGATCTTAATCACTTACTGCTTGCCACGTGGATAATGACGCACATACTCTCCAATATCGAAACAGGCAACGGACAGAATAATGGCATCCTTCGAGGTCTCCAGCAGATGAACCAATATGCGCAGTAGTTCGTAGTTCTTTTCGTTGAGGCGTTGAGCGTTCTCGCGCCAGAACTTGGCCGATTTGTGCACGGGCGACCATTCGAGGCGGCCGCTGCGCACCTCGGTGGCATACTCGTCGAAAGAGCTCAGGTCCTGTACGGAATTCTGCAGCTTCTCGCTCAGATACTCCACATCGGCTGTAATGTCCTCGTCGTCGAAGCGACGCTGTTCCAAAATCGACAGCTGCTTCAACACCTTGCACTGCACCATGGCAATACAATGATCCTTGGCCACGGACGCATCCTCGGGCTTCTCAATCAGATTGCGGAAGACGGCCAAAATGATGCGAGTGACCTTCTCCTTGGCACAATCGCTCAAGATATCAGCCAATATGGGTATGACGCTGAACTTGTTCATCTTGGCAGCCAACAGGGGATTGAAGGTCAGCACCCACAGGCAGAAGATCAACTGGTATTGCACCTATGAATAAGAAATCGAATTTAAATTGTACCAAACAATTTACACATTTCAATTTCAAACTCACCTGGAAGTTGACACGCGTCGACAGGATGCGTATCAAGGTGCTGATGCCATCGACGCTGACGAACGCGAATCGATACTCATCCACGCGCAGCATCATCTGCAGGCAGCGTGCCACGGACTGGATATACTCGTTGTTCTGTGAAGGCAACGAACGATATTAATATGGATCTTGCATCCTTGCAGAGCTTTTCATTTTAGTAACGAGTTAGTTATGACAGTTTATCTTAATTTGTTTTTTTCTTTTTTAAATATTTTTTTTTTCTAATTGAAAGTTGGCTACAACAACAGCAACACAACAGTTACTACAGCTACTTAATAGAGAGAGAGAGAAAAAAGTGGAAGTGGAAGAGACAGACAGAGAATTGTGCTCTGAGACAAACCAATAAAAAAAAATAAAAAAAAAAAGGAGATGTATTATAAAGGACAGCAAACGTCGTCGCTGTTCTGCTTAGAAATCCGTAGAATGGGCATGGTAATTGTTTGTTTTTGTTTGTGTATTGCATTCACACCGACACCGATTTTTTTGTTTTACAAAATTCTTTTCTTTTCCTTTTTTAATTACCTTTACACCTTTACCGTTACCTTCAAGCTATATTCAAAGTTTTGTACATATGTTGCTCTGCTGCACATCTTTAATTTAAGTCGATGATATTTAGTGGAGTTAGTAAACAGTTATTGTTTGATTTCTAAATATACATACAAGACACGCACACACACACTCACTATCTATATATACACGCACTCACACAGCAACGTTTATGCATTGGAAGATATGGGAATTCGCTGTTGGCTGACAATATATTTTAATTTTGATAAATAATAAAAGTGAGTAAAAAATTATATTAATTCAAAAATTAAAAACGAAATCAATTTCTACTAGAACATTTTTATGCATAAATTATATCAATTTAAATTTCATCGCAATAACTGTATGTAACTATAACCGGATTTTACTGTACATATATATGCTTATCAGAAATTGCAAAGCTAATTGGAATATAAAAGAATATTTAATAAGTTTTTGATAGACAATGCATATCTCTGCCATGATATATTCTCTTTAGCACATACGAGAATATTTTGCAGGTGTGTGTGTGCGTGTGTGTGCGAGTCTGTGTGTGTGTTGTATAATTGTTTGATCATTTTTGTTTGGTAATTGATTTTGTGTAATTGTGTGTGCGTATGTGTGTGTAGTTGGATTGGGTGAGTGTGTTGTGGTGGTGGTGATTGGATAGCATTTGGGCTGCATTTGGAATACCGGTATAACACATTTGCCATCCTGCTGCTGATCGAAGGCGGAGGAGCGTACTTCGCGGTAACTCTCATTGGCCAAATCGTGGCGCTGCTGCAGCTGGACCAGATTGGGACTGTACTGGTGATGGCCTTGATGATCTTTGCCATGATGATCTTTGCCATGCTGTCCATGCGAGTGCACAATGATCGTTTGCGCCCGCTTGGCCAGCTGGGCCATCTCTTGCAGATAGGCAGTGCTCTAATTGATTTGTGTTGGGGGTCAGATAGTGCGTGGGTCGTAGGTTTTTTTGTTTTTTGTTTTTGATTTTTGGTTTGGGTTCAGCAGCGCACAGTATCCACAGCATTGTTTGTGTTTGTTGAATTGATCGATTCGGTAATTCAGTTATTGGTGTTTAACAAAATAGATTCGTAGTTGATGTTGATTGACGGTTTAAATTGTAAATTGGTATTAAATAATAAATACATAAAATATTTGAAAAACAAAGTTTAACAGAGAACAAAACAGAGCAAGAGTTCAACTTTTTGTTTTAGTTTGATCTTTGCTTTTGTGGACATCAGAATACACATAAATCGTAACGAGAAAACGTAATTATTACATAATATTATA